TCCATTGTCCAACCCCTCTTCTCTTCCCCCTCCCATCCCCCCGCCCACACACACACACACCCCTGCCAGGAAGCCGAGCCGGAGAGTGACGAGGAGGACGGCGGTCCCGCCATGGGGGCCCTTCTGGAAGACGCCCGCTCCGCCCCGTCCTCTAGATCCAACCGCTCCCGCAGATCGTCCCGGTCGCGTAGGTCCTCAGCTCGCTCAGCTCGCTCGGGCCGGTCGGCGCGGTCGGGCAGGTCGGCGCGCAACAGCAAGGTGGGCAAGGGCGGCAAGGGCAGTCGGCGGCAGCGCAGAGCGGCGCCCCTGGAGACCAAGAACGAGGAGTACTTGCGGCTGAGGAGGGAGGCGCGGGCGAAGCGGCTGGGCCGGGTGAGTGAATGTTAGGGAGCTGGAGTGGGTGCTTTTTGAGGAGGGGGGAGAATGCGGGGGAATGGGGTATTATCCCGAAACTGAGTGTACGGAATTACGGTGCGGGGGTGCGGGAGGAGAGGCACAGGAACACACACACACACACACACACACACACACACACACACACGCACGCACGCACACACACACACACACACACACGCACGCACGCACGCACGCACGCACGCAAACCATTGCGTTGACTCGGCGCGTGGAGGTGAAGTCGGTGAAGCAAGGTGTAATCGAATACCTCCCGTCTCCCCCGCCCCTTATCCCTTGCTTCCTCTTCCTTCCACCTCACCCTCCACATCCCTCCGCCATCCCCCTCCTCCCGCTGCAGGACTGGGTGTCCCTCAACCGGGAGGCTCTGAGAGAGCTAGAGGCCAAGACCGCGCACATCAAGGTGGGGGGAAGAAGGGGGGGAGAGAAGGGGGGGAAGGGGCAGATGGGATGAGGGATGGGGAGGGGCTGATCTCTGGGAGGGTGGGGGGTGGATATCAGTGTGGATGCTACGTGTATGTATGTATGTATGTATGTATGTATGTATGTATGTATGTATGTATGTATGTATGTATGTATGTATGTATGTATGTATGTATGACGTTGATTACACTGTGGGCTGAAAAGCGGGGGGCCCAGGGCCGAAGCACAGCGCGAGGGGCGGGTGCATGTATGATGTGTGAAACAGGGGGGTGTATCTTCGCCCGTGGCAGCTACCCTGCGGAAACCCTGCCTTCCCCGGTATTTCGGGGCACCCCTCATCCAGTCACCCTAGTCAACTTCTCAGTGGATCGCTCAGGTTCCGCACCCACCACCAGCATCCAACGGAATCTGCCGGGTCGACAGCGGCCCAACTCCATTCCTGGTCGGCTCGCAGGTTAACTTTATCCCAGGTCACCACCGTCCATCAACTAGGGGCGCAATGCCTTCCACCATCGGAAGGACTTTTGACCCTAATGGGTATCGATCCCGGGATCTCCCGGGGGCAATGGTCGCGCATTACCAGTAGTGCCAAACCCTAGTATAATGCATGTATGTATGTATGTATGTATGTATGTATGTATGTATGTATGTATGTATGTATGTATGTATGTATGTATGTATGTATGTATGTATGTATGTATGTATGTATGTATGTATGTATGTATGACTTAGATTACACTGTGGGCTGCGAGAGCCGGGGGCCGAAGCCGAAACACAGCGCAAGGGTCGGGAGCACACAGCACAAGTCGGTTAGTCTTGTGTGCTCCCGACCCCGACTCAGACTGCCAGCACTCTACGCAGCCACTCCGCAGCCCCCCCATCCGGGGGTGGCGCTGCATTGAATACACCACGAAGGGCTCTCAGGTCCCGCTAGAGCGAGTCCACAAGTCTCAGCTAGGGCAAAGTCAAAGGCTCTCTGAAACAACCCCCCAAAACACCACCAACGGAAACGGGATTCGAAGGGAAAACAAACAAACAAAAATTCGGTTGGGGCAGTCCCGGCAGGGGAGA